GCAGCAGCATCAACGCGAACCTTCCACCTCGTGGGGCCACTATCAGGCCGACGCACCCCGTAAGATCACAGCTTTAAATATCAACATCGAAGCGCGTACCTAAAGTCCGTCTCCCCCGGAAACTGCCCTGAATTCCAAATGTCAGATGCGAAAGAGGTAGCTGTAGGTGACGGCAACGCTGCTACAGCCTCAAGGAGTCTTCCAGCCAGCGGCCGTGGCATCTGCAGTAGGAACTCAGCAGATGAAGCGCCAAAGTCCCCGTCCCCCTTAGCACGCAAGAGCTATTCAATCGCCAGAAGATTCGGCCTTGACTTCAGAGAGAGCATCCCCGCCTGTCAACTTATGCATGCATTGTCATGTACGGGGAGGTGTACATCCCATGTGCTGCAGAGCGCTGCAGAGCGATTTGTCTGCCTCTCAACGCGTCGCTAGAAACATGTTTACGGGCTAACATTTATGTGCAACTGTAAGCAGCATTCAAGGAAGTCCTAAAGGCAATGAGACAATGCAATATACAGGAGGTAACATGGCTTTAGCAGCCCAAAGGAAGCTACACATAGCGACATATACGACAATTCTCCACATGCGATACCACGGGAGAAGAAACAGACCTTCGCCCCATTACAACTGAATAGCAAAACCACAAGCGAAACAGACAAACCTGCAGCACATAAGACTTCCCACGAGACCCGGCCGCCTCCAAGTTGACAGCCACGCGAACACGGCGGGCCCAGGGGTGCTGCGCCCCAAAAGCATGAGCAGCCAGCAGCATCACTTCCTCCGCACCTGTACACAGCGCGGACACAGACACACAGGCCCTCAGAGAAAAGGGACCAAACACATAAAAGTACACGATCCCCCCGCTGCCCTGCATCCAACTGCAGCATTATACACGCTTAGTACATCACTTAGAGCTTTCACTGGCCAGATGGTCCCCAGATGAGTTTTAAACGCATTCAGGGGTCATCCTGCAAGCACTGAAGGTCCACGCGTCTGCCCTTCCCTTGCCCGGCCGAGGACGACATTACCATTAAGGTTCAGAATAAGTGGTGAGGATATGAAGTCATCTCCACTAGGTTTATTTCGTTCTTCTTTCTCCTCCAATCCCCACTGCTCCAGCTGCACTCTGTGGGCGGCTCTAAGGTGTCTGTACACCCCAGCCCTGGCCACTTCCACAGCAACCGCGCACATCCCAAGGTCGTCACTTATTCCCGGAGATGAAGGCGCTGTGTCATAATGTGCTGCTAGCATCAACGCGCTTGCTGCTGCAGGGGGCTTTCTATTTTCGTGGGCCCCTACACACGCAGCAGCATTAATGGGGGCCCCCTGGCTAGAGCTTCCCAACGGGTTCTTCTGCATAACCCGTTTATCTTCGAGGGCCTCTGATGTGGAACAGCCGGAGAAGATGGGAAAAAGTGGCTTAATTTTCACAGTGAAGTTGCGGGGCCCCACGTACAGAGATGTGCGAATTCCTGTGTAATTTTGCCCGAATCCCCCAGCAGCTCCACCAGAGAAGGTCACGTCTACAGATAACACATGTCTCATCAGGTGGCGCAGCACTGAGGTTTTCGCCGCTGCTGCTGCAGCCGATGCAGCAGCAGCAGCAGTGACGCTTCTATCTTTCTCATCTTTGGAGAGGTGAGGGAGCGCATGCAGAAGGTGACGCAAGCCCGAACTCTCGAGGTCCTCTGTGCTACTTAAGGAGGCTTTTTCTTCGTCTTGGCTCTGAGGCTTAGCTGCTGCTGCACCTGCTGATCCCTGCTGCTGCTGCTGCTGTTCCTGCTGCTCTCCGTGGTTCTTGACAGCAAGACCAATCAGTGCAGAGACAGTGGAGGGGGGGGCAAGAAAGTGCCTTGTTACCTTAAAGCATTGCACCTTAGGAGTTAAAGTGCCGGAGACGAAATCTGGTGAGTCGGGATCCAGCACACTTGGGCTGTACGTACAGTCCAGTTCTTCCCATTTTTCCGACTGTCCTGCTGCTGCTGTTGTTATCTTTCGCTCAAAGGAAGCAGCAGCAGCATCTGCTGCTGAAGGAGAAAAGGGGTCCTGCTTTTCCGTCAACTTGAACACTGCTGAGCACCTTTCAAGTTGCTTTTGGTCCTTGCATGCAGGCGGAAGCTCCTCTTCCGTAGACTGCAGCAGCTCTTCATGCAGTCCCGTGGCTGCTGCTGCTGCTGCCGCTGCTGCATGTTGCTGCTGCTGCTGTAGTAAAATATGATGTTGCTGAATCACCCCGCACAAACATGTCTGAATATCTGTCACCTGGCCGGGCGGTTGTATGCGGCGCAGCGGCGTTGCTGCTGCTGCTGCTGCCTCTGCTTTCCTCTTTGCTGCTGCAGTGCCACTCCGCAGCTCGTGAGTCACAAGCAGCACGAAGCTCACACGCCCGACAACTGCCTGCATCTCAGCTCCTGCTGCTGCGTCTTGCAGCTCAGCAGCATCGTCAGCAGCTGTGGTTGCTGCTTGAGCATCTGCGGTGTCTGTAGATGTCTTAGTACCTGTAGATGCTGTTGTACCCTTCGGAAGTGCAGCTGGAGCTGCAGGAGCGTAAGAAAGCTTGAGCAGCTGCTTCAGTACAGAGAAGTGCAGCATCAGCGGCGCTGCTACTTCGTTGTCACAGCTGCCGAGTGTACGTACACTGTGCGTTGCCTGCTGCAGCAGCAGCTTCGCCCTGCCTTCACTGAAATCATCGGCCGGCGCATCGACAGAGAGGGCTGGAGGCAAATAGAAATGATTTTCGGCAGCGGATAACGCAGCTAGAAAGACAACTGCTGCTGCAACGAATAAACCGCAGAACACAAGGCGGCCGGTGGGTGCCTCTGGCGGTGTGTCGTCCTTCGCAGTTGAACTTGAGCCCGCGGGAGGCAATCGCTTTCGGTCATTTGGCACATCTTTGTCGCTCATTTCCCCACGCGATGTGCTGAAACTGGATTGAGCTGCTGCCGGAGACATGCCTGCAGGTAACGAGTTGAGCAGCAGCACCTGTTCAGGCTGCGTAACCTGCGGAGCCTAAGCAGCATGTGTAGGTAACATGGGAGCTTTTAAAGGCTTCCAGCCAAAAAGTAAGCCTTTTGTTAAGCAAGGCACCATTCAGGTCAGCTCATCTCGCTTCTGCGAAACAGAGATGCGTCTTCGTGGCGTCAAGACACCCCGCCAGGCGGAGGAAGAAAACAGGAGCAAACGTACAGAATAAGATGCCTTCGTGTCCTCTAAAATAAGTCGAACTTCAGAAGCTGGTCAGAGAATAGTCCTAGAGAGCACTTGCTACTGAAAACAATGAGGATCTGCAGCTGCTCACCGGAGGGGCCCCAGCTTACAGACGGAGTCCCCCTTATAGCATATCCAAATGTTGTGTGATCCTTCCGTTGTTTTTCTTCCATAGCTTTTAATATTCATAAATATAAACAAATGGAACAGGAGGGTCCGTTTTCTCCTTGCCCGCGTGTTGTTTCAACAGCCCTCGCAGAACTAGCTGCAGGCTCGGTGACACAGCGATAATCCAAACCCCGGCCCACATGGGGATGTATACAAGGAAACCCGTTATCATCAAATTGCTTAACCAATGCTAATTTCTAGTATTTTTGAGGTGTGAGACAACAGAAAATCTAGTCGCTACATCTCGCAATGTGTAGGCGCTGCCTGTACTTCCATTCCTCCTAATTAAACCACTACGCGCGGCAAAGCAGTTTACCGCAAAGCGCCAACCTCCCCTGATCTTCAGTTACTCTTTAAATACTAATTACCTCCTTATCGCCAAAAGTAAGTCCGAAATGCCTACACATACCAAGTGCGAAGTCCTTAACATCTGTTCACCCTCACCAAGCAGTGCAAAACGATACGATCGCTAGTAGTTCGACAAGAAAGATAAATAGATACGAATAATGAGTATCAAGCACATAACGTCCAGTACTCAACAGGCAAGTCGACAGCAGTGGTGGTCGACCGACCGATAATTTTTCCAATCCGAAATGTCGCCATCAAAGGACCAACTCCCACCTGTAGCGCAGGCCCGCTACCTTTGTTTTGTCCACCAAATTTAGCTCGCGCTTGCTGAGAAGCTTTTCAACTGGACTTCACGTAGCCTCCAGAACTTCGAAGCTTGCAAAAAGTCAAACCCGACGTTTGCTAGACGCTCCCATTCCGTTGCTATTTCTCGGAAAATTAACAGGCTTCGCAACGTTCCACATGTCACTTCGATTTACAGTGTTGCACGCGGCCTGTAAAACGCCTCAAAGTCATCTGGAGGTGTGACTGCTGCTCTTTTCAGGGTGACGACTATGAGCAGCAGCGATTGTCTTAGGTGAACAAAAAAGCATTTCTTGGGTAAAGAACTGCTCTTCGGCTTTGCTACCTATAAAGCTCAGCCCCTCCCAGACGTTTTTCACTACTCCAAAAAATATCTTAAAACATATCTTTCCCTTATTATTTTTTAAACAAAAATATATTTCCATTCTGGAAGCACCTCAGCATTCTCCACTTGGTTACGTTTCCCTAGATACAATTATGCATCACCACAAAGCGAAGACGACTTCTTAGGCAGATGTGGAGAAGAGCAAATACCATGCAAAAAACAAAGCACTGAAATCCTACACAAAGCATGCTCAATTAGAAGAAAGCGAGACCCGAAACTTCCATCACCCGTTCCTTAAACACTTCCTTCAAGTTAGGTGTGCGCGCGAATCAGATTATCCGTGGTTTCCTCGACAGGTGAAAGAATCACCCCCTTCTTCAACAAAGCTTCGGGCCAGTCCAAACGACCAAAGCGAATAGGGACATTAAAATACTCCACGGAAAGTCCACGTCATCACTACTGTATCTGGAATGCGATCTACAACGGCACTTACCTCCCCTTTGAAAGCGCTCCCAACAAAAAACACGCTTTCACGAACTGTGGCATCTCAAAAAAAGTATTCTGCACTCCTTATATAAGCAAAATCCACGCCTAATTATCATATACATTCCTCTTGCAATAATGAAGACGCTCCAGTTGAGAATACGCATCAGTAACGACTATGCTGCTGGTAATAGCCACCCCCAGAATAACCCCCGCCGCCTCTGCTCCCGCCTTGTGGGGGATAACCCTGCCAGTCTCTGTTGCCTCCGCCTCCGTACTGCCCCTGCCGGTTACCGTAAGACTGCTGCCACTGCTGCTGCTGATCCCCGCCCCCCTGCCGATACCGTGAATCATACGAACCGTACTGCTGCTGATGCTGCTGCCCATAGTATCCGTCTCCATAGCCCTGCTTCTGCCCGTATTGCTGGTGTGACTGATAGTGAGACCTGTATTCTTCAGACTCCGACCACTGAGCCCCATAACCGTAGCCTCCATTCCCCCGCGACGAGTACCTCATTCCTCCACCTTCACTGTTGCCTTGCCAACTACCTTGGTGTTGTTCATGCCACTCGCCTTGGGGACCCCTACCGCCCCAGCTGTGTTGCTGTCCTTGACCCCAGTCATTTCGACCACCATGAGGGGAACCATAAGGGGCCCCAGGGCCGCCGCCCTGATGAGACCAAGACTGATAGTTTCCCCCCTGCCACTGGTCGCCTTTGTGCCGTTTTGCTGAGCTCATATCGGCTTCACTGAAAGCCCCTCTGGCTTCTATGTGGGGTTTCGGTTGCCTATTGTTCTGAGTCAGTCAAAGAGAAAGACACAAGTTTTGACGCGCGTCTAGCGCTCCGTTTGTGCGCCCCCAAAGTGCCAACAGCCCAACCCACATGTTTAAACAGCAGCACGCGTGTTGTATATTCCTGATCCTCACCAGGCCCGGATTGTTCGCCTTGAAGGCTCTTCCCTCTTCATTTATTCTCCTTATTTCTCTTCTGCTTTCACTCTCCGGCATCTCCACATAATCAATCACCGTAAAGCCGTCATCGGTGGACGGCAATGCAAAAGCCGCCTGCAAAACCACAGGGAGTCCACCAGAGCCAGCATAAACTGACAGTAGCAGGTGTACGACGGCTCGTTAGGGCGCTCCTTTCGATCATTTGCACAGTTCCGGCTGGCCGGGGAACACAGAAAGCTCATACATGCATTCGTCTAGTCTCCATTTCCTGCCCCACTGTATTGACATTTTCTGAACATTTGAATCGTTAGGTTTCCACGTTCATTTACCCCGTTGACCTTGTGCTGCGGACGTATTCGCGCGAGCCAGTTGTTTACGCTCACGCAGGGTCCACTTTTGGCCTTACTTTCATATCCATGACTGCCGCCACAGGTACCATCTTCCCCTCCTCCCTCTCTCTCTTTTGCGTTCGTTGCTGCAACGTCGGCTCATCCGTAACCATCACGACGCAGCGTCGAGTGCCCCAACCTGCAGTCAGCCCACTAAACTCGATCATGCAATAAAAAACCGAGAAATGAAAGTAAAACATGGGTGCCAAAACACGGACCACACGCAAGCAGATACAACAGTAGCACGGATTGTCCTTCTGTCTGTGCATCCTTATTTACTTTTTCGTCAGTAGGCAGAGAGCAAGAACAGGAAATTGCATTTACAGGCCGATTAGCCAACAGATATATGTACACCTCGTGGCTCGTTGGGTCTGCATTGCCTATGCAGCTGGGGCTGACCTAGAAAAGGTTGCACTTTACGCGCTCTGGCTCTTTTGAATACATTTGTTTGATCGATAATGACGTTCCTTGGCACCACTCCCGACCCTGCATAAGCCACGAGACTGTTGAAAACCTCAGTGGCTGTGGACATGAGCTCCTCCCACCTGTTAGCGTAATTTGCCTGCCTTTTAAGTCCCATGACTTTCATTTGGTCTATGACTGCGTTTGTCCCCAGCAGCACATAAGACTTCTTCGGGTACTTCTCGATATGACGTTCTATCCAGTAAGTCTTCCCGCAAGCAGGCAGGCCGCACATCATTATAAACTCGCATTCTGATACACTGCGAGGGTGCTCTACTGGGTTCGGTATCAATTCCTGTGGGCATGACACAAAGGTAAACCCGCCAGCAACATCATCCGCAAGTCTGAAGTCCAAAGTGCAATGGCAGATGGATTGGGGATAAAACAAAATGTCCACTAGAACGATAACCTTTTTACGGTCATCAATCATATCATGATGACACAGCTCGCGAGATTCCCTGCATCTTCACTGTTTCTGCGCATGCGTTTCCAGCTGCTTCCTTGCATGGTTGTATGCTCTGGTCTGAAATGGGGTCCCTGCTTTTCTGTGTTGTGTTCATGTCTTTGCTTGATTTTGCAAGTCCGTGTCCTTTCTGTTTATCTGATTCTGTGTCTGTTTTCGTATTTATCTCCTTGGCTAAATCTGCGTCCATCTCACTTCCTTGAGATGTCTGACAGCAAGCTTATATAGGGGAAAACATAGTAGAAAACAGGTACTAGTGCAAACATATGCAGCCTACCTCTTGTTTCAGATCTCCAACGAATCTAAATTCACTTCCCGGCGGCTCAAACCATTTTGTACTTTGTCTGAAGTTAACTTCAAAGTCAAAATTCTTAACGTAGATATGTGGGAAGAGTCCTGTTTCCCTCACGATCGCAGGAAGCTGGAAGGCGGCCCCGAGGTATTCATTATTCTTTTTGAAAGATAGAGATAAGTTGTCTAAATCTATCCCCACCCCTATGACGTCGCCTTCGCCAAATGATGTGCCATAGTCCAGATACTTGCGCGCCGTCGACTTCTTACCTGTCCCGCCAAAACCCCATGATTCAGCAGAATCTCCTGAGCCAAAAAAGCGCATCTGTGATGGTAACTCAGTGCAGGTGAAGATGAAAATGGTACACAGAAGCAAGACAAGGGGGATGAATGCGCAAAAAGCAAAAAGGATGAACAGTGGCCACTGGAAACACAAATCAATAGCAAGGTGGTGCATGTACGCGTACACTTAAGACCTAAATGAGATCATGAGCTAGGACCTTAACCCGAAACTAATCCATGATTCTAATTCTCTGCAGTGCCTGGGGCAGCAACGCCAGAACCACGGATACTCTTAAAAGCAACACACTCCAGTTCATGTAGGACCCCCTTCATCCACTGTTTGATCTGCCTTCCGTGTATAATCCCCCTTGGGCCTAATTGCAAATCACCCACCCAAATGTAGACTCGTGAGGGGCTGACTAACGCCGACGCGGCAGACATGTTGAGTGCTCGCTGGGGTGTCCGGCATTACAACAGGCGCAGGTTTGGGGCCAACTTTGACTTCAAAGTAGAATTTGCCATTCCCCTTTACGCCGAATGTTGATCGCACCCCCTTCCACATGTACTGGAATCCCCCCGTATGCATGCAGCTGGCCTTCAACGGATTCTCCTTGTTAATTTGCAGGTCCAAATGGGAGTCTGCAGCGTCGAGGTAAACTCCACCGTCACATGTGCGAGACGGCGGTCCCCCAGACGGCAAATCATACACGATTTTGGGCAGCCCATTCGCCAAGAGCTCCTGCTTCTTTGCAGGCTTCACTTCCTCACCAGCCGCCTCGGCAGCTGAAGCTGCAGCTGAGCTCGAGGGCTCTCCATCTGGAGCAGTAGGGGCGGCGTTAGCAGGCGCAACAGCGTCGGCGTTAGTAGGCACCGCAATGCCGTTGTCTGTAGAAGCGTTCGCGGCGGTGTTGGTAGACTCGGTAGTTCCCGCATTGTCTTCCCCCTGTGTCTTGTCCAACTCTTTGGACTCCTGTGATTGCACAGAGGAGCTCTCTGCAATGGCTGACGAAGCTGTTGCCGCTGAGTCCTTCCCAGTCAAATTTTGGTCCTGTACACCTGCTTTCGGCGTTTCGTCGCTTCCTGTGGTCGCACCGGCGGCCCCAGCGGTTGGTGACGACATTTTCAGGACGTTTACGCTTGAGGCTACACGGATTGTGGCAGTCGTGTCTGTATTGAGGAACGCCAACGGCGAAGAAGACAAAAGCAAGGCGCTCCAGTTGCAATGAATGTCCTACAACGGGTTGCACTGCGAGATCGGTCGGCACCGCAAATGCTGTTTGGAGCCGATTTTGTTGTGGGCTCTTTGAGTAACGACACAAAAATTTATAGTGTACAGGGAAAAATAAATGGGACGGTGCCTTAAGGCTCAGATCTCAGATGCCTAAACTGCTGCGCCTCGCGGGAGGCAGCAGGAAGAGGCATGCGAGTGCAGCAACCGCTCTTTTCGGGGATACTTAAGGGCAGCCTTGACCCATATAACACTTAAAAAAGGCACACTCTAAAATATTACAGTAAAATTTATCTCTGAGACGCTAGCTTGATTCATTTAGGCTGCGGGGGTTTCTGAGCGCCGTAGCGGGGCTTTTGAGCGCATGTATCTTCGTTACTGAAGCGTGGGAACAAAATTCTCGTGCTGTAGCATGTGCTAAGCTGGTCTCTACTCTTCGCTGCAAACCGGAACTTAATCGAGTTATGGGGCTCATGTTTTCTTGCTGTTCGCCTTAGCTTACCGTGAAGCGCTGCTTGCGTCGTTCCCACTGTATGCCTAGTGACAGATATGTCTGTTTTCTGATGGAGCTGGTCTTAATACATTGACTCGCTGAGCTCAAATGGGTCGCCAGCTCCGCTAGGCGGCTCGGTGTTGCTATGCAGTGGTTGTATTGGGCTGCACGGACGTGAACGGCAGCAACCCAGAACATACTGTTCCCATATTTCGTTTCCTCTCAAGGCGTTCCCGCTACTGTGGTACTCCTTGGGCCTTTTGGCTTCTCATGAGTTCCGCAGACTCGAAAATTGCTTCAACGGGCGACCGAGCGCCTGGAAGCAGCGATCTAGGCGGTGCTGGGGGTGACGGGAGAGGGGAATCGCATGGGGGCCCCCCCGGTTATTTGTTCTCAACAGTTGCATCAATGTTTCTGAAGGGCAGCGAGGAAGAAGAGGAGGAAGAAGAGGAGGAGGAGGAGGAGGAGGAAGAAGAAGAAGAAGGGTGGATATCCTGGTTTTGCTCCCTTGAAGGCCACGACTGCTTCGCTGAGGTTGATGAGGAGTACATACGAGACACATTCAATCTTTTTGGGCTTAAGTCGGCAGTCAATAATTTTGAAGGCGCTATGGATATGATACTGGGGGATGCGCCAGACGAAGAGGAAGTAGCGGACCAGAGCTTCATGGACATATACCGAGACGCCGTTGATCTTTACGGTCTGATTCATGCGCGTTACATCATCTCGCCAAGAGGCTTGCCACAGATGGTTCGCAACTCACTGTGCTTAAGTTTAGCGGCGTGTATCTGTGTCAGCTTTTGCTACTCACCCTGACGGCTGCATCGCCATCTGCGTCCGCATCCCTGGTCTCTTATCCTCGCGTTGCAACACGAATGGTGTTATTAAGAGTATTTACGCAGATATGTAAGAGGGCATATGTGCTGTTCAATTCTTCGCGCATGCTCATGAAGACACATATTTCAGCACACGGCTCGCTTGATTTGTGGTTTTGTGGTGTAAGATGCGTTGGCAGACTGGCTGTATCTTTGCTCGCATAATCCAATTTGTGTTTAATTCATGCTGACGGGTCTGCAGCTGGCGAAACTGGCCAAATTTTCGTGTTTAGCGTCTTCCCTTGCTTACTCTTGCACGAAGTCGTCGTTCATATTATTCGTCTGTTTTGCCAGCTTTTGCCTTTTATCCTTTGCTCAGAGAGACACAAATAGCTGAGTTGTGCAGGCAGTCATTTGAGTATCTTCTTGTTTGCCTTCTTCTGTTTCGCTTCAGCGCGATCGATGCATCGACGAGATCTTTGGGCACTGCCCTCGCGTTCTTTGCGACCGTCAGGTCCTCTTGCCCGTTGGCATATCACCAGACCTTCGCCTGCACAAATTGCAGGTGCTACAGCTACTGCAGTTTTGTCCCACCGCATTCGTTTCTTCATGCCGTAGACGTTTGCATGTTAGTTGGCGGTCAATGTGGCTTGCGTTTTGAGGGGGATGCTGCGATGAGGGCTCAGGGCTTAGTCTGGTCGTTAATGTCTCTTATTCTATATACGTTTCAGCTCTTCTGTCCTCTTTGTCAAGAGGTGTATGACATGGTGAACGCGCACGAACGGACTAAAGATATTGACGGCGCGTATTTCGGGCCTTCGTTCCCGCACATATTCCTGCAAACTTACTCGAGTTGGGTGAGAGTCCACTGAATAATGAACAGTTCATCAAGTAGGAACACAACCATTTATTGGTAGCTGCTTATGATGCAGTAACTTGATTGCTCGTGTTCTCTCATTCAGGTGCCGTCAGTCGCGCCCATTCCTTACCAGCCGCGTCTATTCGGTTTCCGCATTCACAACCGCCACTCAATTATAAAGATAAAGCTTGAAAATGTAAGTATGCTATTTGTTGCGTGCGGCGCACTTATATTCACTGTGATGTGGTTCAGTGGGTCGTATGTCCTAGTGGTGTTTACGTCTTTAATGTGTGTTCCTTTAGGGCGAGTATGGCAGCTGCTACATGTCTAATAAGAAGCGGCCCTCAGTTGCCGCCTTGAAAAGCGGAGAGGAAGCTGAAGAGAAGGAGGGAGCTTAATCGCCTTAACACCACAGAGACAAACGAAGGCAGACAAAAAAATACAGTTGAAGCTACGTACATGGCCCGCGTGGCTCAATCGTTGTGCTGTGTGTATTGTCTATTTGCCCTCTGGGGACACCAACACTTGTACTGGCGGGGCATAAAGCGCATTGCTGAATATATGTGAAGCACCTCGCCTGTCACGGTGCAGAATGCCGGCACTGTGACGCCGGGGAGGAAGAAGTACATGAAATTGACACATTACAGCAAGAAGGCGGACACGTTTCGTTGCTCTGTAGGCGGCTCTGCAGAGTTTTCGGGTTACTCAGGCTGTCGCTAGACAGCGAAATCGACTTGAACTAAAGTTAAAAGCAGATAATCAGACAGTGGAGACGAAACAGGCCGCCACCGGGGTGAATGTTGAGAATATCCCCTTCACCTTTCGTTTTGTCTTTTCGCTCATTAGGCATTCGCTCTATTGCTACCGTTGCATCAGGTCCTTATATTACTACATAGTTGTTTTCGTCAACATTCTGTCCCACCAGGATTGCAACGCCCCAAGTGCATGCTCACGCAGATTGGGGTATCTTCAGTTCCGCACACGGTTCACCTCTCCCAGTCCATATAGGCGCTTGTAGTTGCGGCCTGTTGCCACAGAACTAAGGAGAGTGGGTCCTAGGGAAATGCCACAAGTTCAACTTGACTATCGGGGGAAGCCCAATGTAAAGGCCGAACTAATACGGTGGAGACTGGAAATCCGAAAACTTTCGGATTAGTTATCAGTCTCGCAAAGAGATGCATTTTTAACTTCTACATTATCGAAGCGGCGTGTGCAGAACGTTTCCAAGCCTTTAAGTAATAGGGGGAAACGGAAGACGGAGTACTTGGTTGCGCATGTAAAGGGGGAAACGAAGCCCGGCGTTTACTAAGTAAAGGTTTGGGTTGGCTAGCAGCCCCAAATATTTTATTGCTGACACTCCCCGTCCTAGCATGGTCCTCCGTTTCGTTTCCGTAGTATCTAAAGGACCTACAGGGAAGTTGTTGCAGAACCTACATGACCTACAGAACTTCGGCAGAGCCAATCATGCATTAACAGTTAAGCAAGCGGTAAATAAAAGTAAGTACCGTAGCACTTTAGCGTGAAGTATGTGAGGTCTATATATTTGGTCACCAAAGTCTATATGCATAAAGTACAAAATATACATATATACGCATTTGCATTGTTGTATGTGCTATGCAGTATCTGAGTTCAGACACCAATTGTTTCGAGTGCACATACACACTGGCACACTGGGATGGTCATTTTCCAAAAGCCAAATAAACACAAACGAGAACAAAGCATTTGGTTTTGCACCAGTTCATAAAAGTAGCTTCAAGATAAAGCTAAAGTTGATGCTGGGTTGAAAATAGATTTTCGTGGACTTCAACTGCACTTTGCCTTCCCCCTCAGTCCGTGCTAAGGTTGAACCACGTAAGCCCCTCCTCCTGCAAGCACAAATAGAACAAATGCGAGTGGGAACAAAAAAGGATACTACGAAGTGCCGAGCAGAGGAATACGACACATAAGGCGGCGATGATAAATGGTAGCGCTAGCATTCAGGGGTAGTCTACTGCATTGAAGGAGAGGATGCACAGTAGCATTTGAATGATAAACTTTAGACTTATAAACGAAAATGTGGTCGGTCTTTCAATATTTTCGACTCTTCTGCAATGTACACGCATCTCAGCATACTGAAGTGCATAGTGAAGAGAGAAGGAAACACGCCTTATTTCCTCACCTCCTTCTTGAGAGAAATACATACTCTGTTTTCATTTACAGATATGGACGACTCGCTCGGCACAAGCGACCCGTATGTCTTCATTATTGCCAAAATGTACAAACCAGATGGGCCTGTGCACATGAGCCAGCAAAAGTGCTTGACGAAGACAGATAGTACACAATTAAAAACAAATGGGCAAAATTCGAGCAAAGGAGCATCAATCGTGAAACAAAAGCTTACGGGTTGATCATCGCATTGACTAAAAGTAGTGATGACTGTTTGGCTTGTAGCAAGTTAGTCTAGTTGCTTTACTTAAATTGGTAAACGTACGTTCTAAGGCTACAGCAAACTTGTTTCTGTCGAATTCTGCTGCCACCTTGTCTGGGCTGAAGGGGCCATCAGCTTCTTCCCCTGGGCGTATTGCGTCCAGGTGTATGTACACCCTGCATGAAACCACGGCACACACAAAGTTAGGAAAGATACGCTTTTGTGTTAATACGAGTGGAAATGATCTAGACAGTTTCTGTGAAGATGGCCTGAAACTGTACGGCTTAAATGCACTTCAGTATACACACAGAGGACAAT